CGGGGGGGGGGGAAGGAATGGCTGGAATGATCATGGTCACCGAGGTGGTCGTGATCGTGATCATGAGCGCCTTCGCCTCAGCAGGGAGATGGTTAGGATACACTGCTCTTGTGGTTGTGAAGAGAGGGTGGAGTATGCCTATCTTCTCGTTCTACATCATCAACAAGGCTGGTGGGCTCATTTATCAGAAGGTAAGAAGGGGTGTGGGGGTGTGGGGGTGTGGGGGTGGGGGGGGGTGGGGTGGGTGGGGGGGTGGGAGGAAGGGGGGAGGGGGGAGGAGGGGGAAGGTGGCTAGGGGAAGGAATGGGGGGGGGGGGGGGGGAAGGGGAAGCGGGAGAAGGAGGAGAAGGGAATGGAGGGAGGGAGAGAGAGAGAGAGAGAGTGTGTGTGTGTGTGTGAGAGAGAGAGCGCACAAGGGAGGAGAGCAGGCACAAGGGAGGAGAGCAGGCACAGCAGGCACATACTAACCCACCCCCACATGCACACCTCCTGCAGGACTTTGAGGACTACAAGGCCAACAAGCTGATGGTGAACGAACATCTGCGACTCGGCGGGTTTTTTCACGGCATCCATGCTATTGCGGCACAGGTGGCGCCAGTGGCAGGCTCATCGGGCGTGGAGGAGATCGAGGCGTCGACGGTCAAGCTCCGCTGCTTCCAAGCGCTGACCGGGACCAAGTTCTTTGTCACGGCCTCTCCGTCGCAGGCCTCGCTCGATGTCTTCCTCTCGCAGGTCTACGAGTACTACGCGGACTTTGTGCTGAAGAACCCGTTTTACGAGCTTGAGCAGCCGATCCAGGGCTGCGACAAGTTCGTGGCCCATCTCGACGCACTGGTGGCGTCGCTCTCGGCGTAGTCACCCCGGTCGGTGCGGGCTGCCTCACGACCGGGCGCCAAAGATGGCCGAGCCGACACGGACACAAGTCGAACCCTGCAGGATGGCTTGCTCAAAGTCGGCCGACATGCCCATGGAGAGGACGAGTGGGCGGGCGTCGCCCGCGGCACGGAGGCCGGCGTCGCCGATGGCCGCCGCCGCTGTGGCGAGAACCTCAAAGTCGGGGTTGGTCTCGCCGGCGGCGGCGTTGATCGACGCTGCGCGCGAGCCGATCGTCATCAGCCCGGCGAGCTTGAGCGCTGGGCACTGCTCGGCCACGTAGCGGGCGAGCTCGAGGACCGCCTCGGGCTCGACGCCTGATTTGCTCTCCTCGCCCGAGGTGTTGACCTGGATGTACACGTCGAGGGTCCGGTCGGCGTCGGCCGCGGCCTTGTTGAGCGTCTTGGCGAGCTTGTTCGAGTGCAGCGTCTGGACAACAGCCAGGTTGGGGATGGCCACCAGCGCCTTGGCCTTGTTACTCTGCAGCGAGCCGATAAAGTGCCACTCGATGTCGTCCGGGAGGGCCGGGGCCTTGGCCACCAGCTCCTGCACGTAGTTCTCACCAAACACTCGCGCTCCGGCGTCATACACCTCCTGCACAGCTTCGGCCGGGAACCGCTTCGACACTGCCACCAGCAGCGGAGCCTCGCTCCGTCCGGCAGTTTCGGCCGCTGCCGCTACCGCCGCCGCCACCGCACGGTACGCTCCGCCGCGTCTGCCCTCGCTGCTGCTCGCCGCCACGCTAGCCATCCTCTCGCCGCTTGCGCTTCTTCCTGTCAACGCTGCGAGTGCTGTGCCTGCTGCTGCCCGAGAGGCTGCGAGCTGGACGGTGCTACGGACTGTGTGGGATGCTGCTGGGAGCATCCAAGTCGAGTGCAGCCCGCTTGTGCCCGTCACGCCTGTCGTTGAGCGGTGTGTCGCGTTGGCGGCGACGCTGGCATATTTGGTCGCAGATGGGAGTCGTGGTCGTCATTCACTGGCTTGGCCATCGCTGCGAGGCGAGGCTGACGCTGAGGCTCAGGCTGACGCTGAGGCAGAGGCTGGCGCCGAGGCTGTTGCGGCAGCAAACTCGGGACAGATGGCCGCGAGCTGGGCGTCGGACGGGAAGGAGGAGGCTAGGAGGCGGAAGCGCGGCGGATCAAACTCGGTGGGCTCAAAGGCGTCGGCGTCGAGGCCGGCGACAACGTCGTCCCATGTTGCCTTGCCGATGATGGCGTGTGGAAACGTCTCCGGCAGCGCAAACATGATGATGTCGGTCTTGGGTAAGAGCGCCTCGGCGCCCTTGGCCCACACGCAGTAGGTGAAGAACCGGGTGTTGTCCGGATCGCGCATAAGGACCTGCGTGGCCACCATCGGCTTGGCCTCGGGCTGCTCGTAGTCGAGGATGGTGTCGAGGAGGCTCTTCTGCTCGTCGTACAGCGCCTTGATGTACGAGACGGTGAGCGCAGTGTAGACGACAGAGATGGACGGCTCGAGCTGCGGCTCGGGCGCCCACGGCAGCCACCCGCCGCCGGACTCGCCGTGCCAGGCGTAGGCGACGACAAGCGCCCGCTTGCCCAGCTCGCCCAGAAAGGATGCCACAGACTGCAGCATGGCCATCAGCCCAGCCTCGTTCTCGCTTCCGGTCACTAGCAAGATCGACGGGCTCGGGAGCATAACAACCGGCCGGCCGACAACGTCGACGACACCGTCGATAAACGCGCCTGGCGCCAGCAGTGGCGCCAGGTTGGCGTCTTCAGAGCTCAGCGAGGCCAGATGCAGCTCAGCCGTGCTCGTCGCGGCCGTCCAGCACGCCGCAGGCTCGTGGGCTTCCACTACATCGGCAATGAGCTCGTCAAAGAGCTCGTTTCCGCTCACGCCCCACACCTCAAGATGACCGGCAGTCACGCTCACCGCTGCGTCGCCTGCTGCCGCTCCGTCTTCGGCCTCGCCCGACGACGGCTCGGGATAGACCAGATACGCGAAGAGGCGCGCCGGCGAGCCAAGCGCCCGACGCACAATCCGCGGCGCCCGCACGCCGAGCGCTGCGAACTGAAGGTCGCACTGGGCAAAGTAGGACGAGTCGCGGACGCGGAGGCGCAGCTTGGCGCGGACCGCCGCCAGCGGTGGGACCGCCGCCGCGAGGCCGGCCACCACCGCCACTACCGCCCGCACCGCACCGTCGCAGCTCTCTCTCTGGCTCCCGCGCAAGCCTGGCCGCCAGGGGGCGCCCACCCTCCCACCAGCACGCCGCGTCCGTGCGCCGCCGCGGGGTGGTGCTCGGGTGAGAGCGTGAGGCTCCCGCTCGCGGGCTCGCCGTCCAGATGGATGCCGCGGATCACCGCTGCCTCCATCACCGCTCGCATCGCCTCCATCACCGTCGCTGTGACCGCGTTCGTCGATCTTGTCGCCTGGCCGCAGCCTGCAGCCTTGTGCGCAGGCCATGCGGCTACCTGGCACTCGCGCGAGCAGTACCGCGCCCGCTTGCATCGCCCGCACCGCCGGCGTGCCACCACCTGACACCCTTCCGCCTCGCACCTCCGCACGTTGTCCGCGCCGTCCTGGCCACGCCTCCTTACGTTGACCTGGACACCATCAGACATCGCTTGCACGTAGCGCCTTGCTCGCCGCAAGTCGAGTGGCCGTCTCTCTCTCTCTCTCACTCTCTCTCGGCCCCTCCCACACGCCCAGGCTGCGCAAACCACTCTGCAAACCACCGATCTGATCGCCACCCATCACCCATCACGCCGAAGCCTCGTCTATCCATTGACTATATCCTCGATCCCCCCCCCCTCCCTCCCACACACACCATCAAATTCCTTGCATTCACACACACACCACACCATTCCTGCCAACGGCCGATGACAGGTACGTTTTGCCGTCCAATATTGGCGGCAAGCGGCCGGTGCGGGGAGTGTACAAGCATTTTTATGCGGAGAATTTTTACCGATACGGGCTCCTACCGCCCCTCCTCAGTACCATTACGTCTGCCCCGCACGCAAGCCCGACCTCCGCTACCCATACAACCTTGACAGGCACACACAGGTATACCCACTCTTTCCACCCCTGCCTTCTCACGATCCACCCGTCACCCCCGTCGCTTCAATGATGCCATCCACGGAGCTTCACCGGATGACCAATTTCATGAGACCCGGAACACCCCACGCTGACACCCCCCTCCCCCCCCCCTCCCCTCCCCCCCCCCCCTCCCCGCCCTTGCTCCACCACCAATCAATTCCCACATCGGCCTCGTGTGTTGTACAAGCAGGAGAATTGGCCCTAGTCTTTGGTCACTTCACCAACCCACGACCTTGCCGGTATAGGAGCTATGCCGGTGCGTGGTGCGGTTGAGGAGGCGGAAGGCGAACAAGGAGGACGGAAGAACCAAGGAAGCGGAAAAGGTGAAGCCGGCGGCGGGAGCAGCTCGAGTGTCGCCGGCGAGCAGCTAGGGCTACACCGTGGGACCATCATGCCGGTCCCCGGTGGCCGTGCTCCTATGAACGGGCAACAAATCGCAGTATTTCCCGGCAGCTTGCCAATGGCACTCCCGTACTTGCCACCCAGTCTGCCCGCGATGGTGCCTACCCTCTCCGGCTTGGTTTTTCCCTCGCCGCTGCCACCCGGAATGGTGCCACAGCCACTCAACCCGTTCCTCTTTTCAAGGGCTCTGGCTGCCATGTCGCAAGGGAAGAGCCACCTGGCTGCGCCCACGCCACACCGCTCTCCTGCAAGTCAACACTCGGTGCGACCTCATACCGCTGCTCCGCCACCTCGGACCACGACGTCCATGCCAATGACGCCATCCTCGTCCACCACCTCTTCCTCTCCCTCCGGCTTTCGTCGCCCGGTGGCTGCCAAGCCCCAGCCAGCCACCCGCCCGTCGGCGGCCAACGCCCGCCCGCGCCAAGTCAAAACCTCCCGCCACCGTGCCTCGTCGGCAAAGTCGGCAAAGTCGGCAAAGTCGGCAAAGTCAGCAAAGTCGTCGTCGGCAACCGCGGCCGGCGCAAAGGCCTCTCCCCGCCCGCCGCGCAAGCCGCCTTTGCCGCCGGCAGTTGTCAGCTGTCGCCACATCGGCTGCGACTACCACCCCGCCTACCGCACGCCACACGAGCTCCGCCAGCGGCTCGAGCGCCACGAGCGCTCTTCGGTCCTCCACGACGCCCACTTTCGCCGCCATAGCAAGTCTTGCTCCGTTTGTCAGGATCTGATCCGCACTGGAGTCTGGACCGACGATGGCGCCATGATCAAGCGCGCCACCGACGTGAGCCAGTGCACCCACACCGGGTGCACGTGGGTGACCAAGGCGGTCACACCCTGGAAGCGAAACGAAGGGCGTCGCAAGCACGAACAATCCATCTCCCTCCATCACGAACACGCTCTCCTATCAATGACTCAGCTTGATGATGGCACCGCGTGCACCACATGCACCGAGCTGTTTGAATCTGGCGTCTGGCGGCGCAACGCCTCCCCAAGGCTTCCCCGCTCGCCCGCTCTCTCCTCCCTCCCCGCCTGCTCCCTTTGATCCGCTTGCGCTGTCTACCGCTCCCCTCGTGGCCGCCGACCTAACGGCTGCTGATCTCGTGGCCGCTAATCTCGCAGCCGCGGCACCTCCGCTCCTTCCCCAGCCTGAAGACCACCTCGACAACGTCCACGACTCCCCTCTCTCTTCACCTTCCCCTTCGTCGTCGCCGCCGTCCAAGCGCGAGCGACTCTCGGACGAGATCGACGCCCTGGCTTCCCTTGCTGCTGGCCGGTCCACTCTTGACGACCACGATCTTCTCCCTCTTCCGCCGTCCAAGACCCGCAAGAACCTGTCTGGGCTAGCTCTTCCTCTGTAGTGGTAGAGCTTGGGTTCAATGAATGCGGTTAAACTGAACCAGTGACCTGGTGCCCGCAGTCACACCGCGCCGCAACGCAGTCTCCGCCCGTGACGCGGCAACCAAAGTATTTCTCCTTCCACTCGCCTGTCACCCCCCCCCCCCCCCCCCCTCATAGCCGCGCACCCACAACCTTCACACCTCTCCCCACACCCCACACCCCCACACCCCACACCCCACCCCACACCCTTCACCCTCCCTCTCTCTCTCCCCCCCCCAAAAAACTATTAATATGCTGGCTCTATTCCGACACCATTCACTCCGCGCTGCAGCCCGGCCCATGCTCGCAGGTGCGACAGGCATCGCTGCAGCGGCCGGGTGGCAGAGGACCTTTGCCGCACGGAGGACCAAGAAGAAGTCGGCGGGTGTGGCCAAGGAGGCCGTCTACAACGAGACCGATCCCGAGGCTGTCATTCCGACACTGGTCCGCCTGGAAAAGGTGCTGGGCAAGGAAAAGGCCAAGCTCGAGCTGCCCAAGATCGTCGTCGTCGGCAACCAGTCATCGGGCAAGTCGTCGGTGCTCGAGGCTGTGGCTGGCTTTGACTTTCTCCCAAAGTCGACCTCGATGTGCACCACCCGCCCCCTCGAGCTCAACTTGCTCCGCTCCGACTCCGGGACATGGGCTGAGTTTGACGACGGCCGCAAGATCTTTGACTTTGAGCAAGTCGAGGCCATTCTCCGCGAGAAGAACCAGGACGAAGAGTTTTCCGAGCTGCCGGTCACCATGTCCATCTACGCGCCGCACGTGTACAACGTCTCGCTCATCGACCTGCCGGGCTACATCCACGCTGTCCGTGCCGGGCAGTCGCCCGAGCTCCCCGAGCGCATTGCCGCGCTCTGCCAAAAGTACATCTCCGACCCGAACAACATCATTGTTGCCGTCGCCTCGGCCGCCGACGACGTGGCCATGTCGATGGGCATCAAGAACGCACAGGCTGTCGACGCCAACATGGACCGCTCACTCGGAGTCCTCACCAAAATGGACCTCATCAAGTCGCGCAAGCACATCCACTCCATCCTCCGCAACGAGGACTACCCGCTCGGCCTTGGCTACGTCGGCGTCCGCTGCCGCTCGCAGAAGGAGCTCGAGGACGGCAAGTCGTTCGACGATGTGCTCCGCATCGAGGAAGCCTTTATCCGCAGGGCTAAGCTCCGCGATGTCGGTGACCTCCGCCTCGGCATCCCCACCCTCCGCCGGGTTCTCTCGGAGGAGCAGCTCAACAAGGTAGCCGCCGACTTTCCGCGTATCCTCGCCGAGCTCGATCAACATATCGACGACGTGGCCAAGGACGAGCAGTTCCTCCTCGCCATCTCGGCCGAGACCGATCTCCGTAACATTGCCCGCGAGCTCGAGAAGCTTGTCCTCAAGTTCTCGCCGCTCTCGCCGGAGCGCCTCGAGTTTGAGGCCCAGGTCCGCGACACCATCGGTGACATTGTCCACAATGCCTGGTTTGATGCTATGGACAAGTTCTTTGAGTTCTCTGACCCGCCTTCGCCGCTGGCTTCGCCGCAGCTCTCGGCCCGCCTCACAGAGGCCTACAAGCCGACAAATGACGAGCTGCATGTGCAGAAGACCGCCCGTCGCGCTCTCACCGACGTCGACTTTGAGCCCGAGTCCCACTTTGTCGACCGCCGCGGCAAGTTTGAGCGCGCCCTCGTCTTTGGCACTGGCACACCTGACAAGATCGACGACGCCACCCTGGCGCGGCTTGGTGACCACGCCCTCATCGACGGCGCGCTCGCTCCATTCTACAAGTACGTCTTTCCGGAGAACGCCAACCGTGCCCGCCCAGTGTGGCAGGAGGCGCTCGAGGACTCGGTCGATGCCGTCCTCAGCGACGCCCACCTCGTTGACCGCTGCCGCCGCGCCACCGTCGATCAGCTCCTCGAGTTTGTCGACCGCACCGCCCACGCCGGCACCGGCCGCGAGTCGCGCCTTGCCCTTCACTTCTTCCGCTACCTTGTCAAGCGCATCTCGACCGAGATCAACTCGGATGGCCTCTCGTCCCACATCGAGGGCATGATTGCCCGTGAGAAGCGCGCCACCGTCTCGTACCCGGTTCTCATGGCGGAAACCGCAGAGCTCCTCCGCTCGCCCAAAACCGAGACCGGGCTCGGCTTCTGGGGCGCGCTCACCAACTCGGCCAAGTGGCCGCTTGTCATCCCACTCTATGGCCAAGTCTTCACCTCGGCCTACTTTGGGGCTGTCATCGACCGCTCCACCTCGGACGTGTTCCGCTCGCTCGCCGTCGAGATGCTCAACCCGCTCATCATCGAGGCCATCCACTACTCTCTCAACCTCTTCAAGGGCCATAAGATCCGCCGCGAGTCCAAGCGTCAGCTGCAGTATCTCAACCAGCTCAAGAAGTACCGCGCCATCATCGCCTCGGCCCAGGCCCGCTACACCCCGTCGAAGCCTGCCCCAGGCTCGGCCTCGAGCTCGAGCTCGTAAGCAAGGCTGAGAGTGCTCCAGACAGAGAGATGTGGATCCAAACCCGATAGATGGGCATAACGTGACTGAGGCTCGGCTGAGAGATAGAGTGTGTGAGAGAGATTGCTGATTTACACACACACACACACACGCACGCGCGCTCACACAGGCATCCGCACATATGCCGGTCGGGTCAGGCAGAACGTGGGGCAGCCAGGCAGGCTCGGTTGAGGCTACCACCACAAGCTCGCACTCGACCGTCACTCACACCCGCACACAACTCTCGACATGTCGCGGTTCAACAACCGGTCCGTGTTCCGCCTGGCCCAGGGCAAGGAGCTTCCCAACGAGCAATGGTACGCAGGGTTGGGGAAGAGTAACGAGGGTGTATGGATAGGCTGCGGAGGAGGGTGGCACCTGGGCGGAGCGTTCTTCGCAAGAAACTGACTCACGCCACGCCGCCGCCACGCCGCCACACCATCATGCCATCATGCCATCACGGCCACAAACGTGAGGAACAGGTACTCGGAGCTGCGGACGACAAGCCTGGCGGGTGATTGCAACGAAGTTGCGGCGTCGGGCAAGTATGTGGCCTTTGGTGGCTCGTCAGCCCGGAGCATCTCGTTTCTGCCGGTGGGTGGGTCGGGCCGGTTCGGATCGGGCCAGGGCGTGCCTGGCGTGGCTGGGCACTCGCGTAACATCTCAGCGCTGGACTTTTCACCGTTCCATGACGCGCTGCTGGTGACTGCGGCGGAGGACGGGTCGGTCAAGATCTGGGAACTGGGCGAGGGCAAGGCGTCGGTGTCCGAGACGGCCAGCGCGTGGTCGGCGTCGCAGAAGCGAATCCAGGCACTGGCGTTCAACCCGGTGGCCGATGGCGTGCTGGCAACGGCGGCAGCTGACGGCGTGGTCAAGGTGTGGGACGTGAATGCCGAAGCCGAGCTCTGCGCTGCGCCTAGCATCGAGTGCCAACCGCAGTCGCTGGCGTGGGACTACGCCGGTGCTACGCTGGTGGTCACCGCCAAGGACAAGACAGTTCGCGTGTACGATCTGCGTGCGAGTGCCGACGGGCCGGTGGCGTCGGGACCGGGCCATGACGGGATCAAGGCGACGCGGGTGACGTGGATGGGCGACTCGTCGCGGTTTGTCACGACTGGCTTTGACAAGTACCGGTCGCGCGAGGTGCGCGTTTACGACATGGCCAGCTCGCTTGACGCGCCGATTTCCAAGACCAAGATGGACTCGTCGTCGGGCATTCTGATGCCGCTCTACGACGCCGACACCAAGTTGTTGTTCCTCGGTGGCAAGGGCGACGTGGCGCTGCGGTTCTACGAGGACGACGGCGGCAAGCTGCTGGAGGCCGGCTCGGTCGGCTCGCGCGAGCAGATTTCGGGCCTGGCGCTGGCGCCCAAGCGGGTGCTCAATGTGTGGGACTGCGAGGTGGCGCGGGTTCTCAAGCTGACGGCGGCTGGTGCGGTTGTTCCGGTCTCGTACAAGGTCCCGCGCAAGTCGTACGCCAAGTTCCACCCGGAGCTGTACCCAGAGACCCGCGGAACGACGCCCGGCGCGACAGCTCCCGAGTGGGCGAGCGGCGCGAACGGGAGCGTGGCGCTTGTCTCTCTCCAGCCCGAGGGCGAGCGGCCGACGCCGTCGCTGCCGTCGTCGTCGATGAAGAGCACGTCGAGCGGCAAGACTAACTCGGCGGGCAAGACGCCGCCGCCGGTGGCGGCGCGGGCTCCCGTGGCGCGCAAGTGGGGCGCAGGGAGTGGAGGCGGAGGCTCCAAGTGGGGCGCCGGCGGGAGCGGGGGTGGGGGCGGAAGCGGGGGCTCCAAGTGGGGTGCCAAGCGCTCGTCGTGGTCGCTCAAGGCGAAGGAGGAGGCGCCGGCCGAGAGTGAGAAGGAGAGCGATCCGGACGCGCCACCCGAGGGCATGCGCGAGGTTGTGGTGCCCAAGAACGTGGTCCGAGTCTCCAAGTTCCGGCACATTGTGGGGAGTGAGACCAAGAAGGAGCTGTGGACGACAGGGCTGCGTATCAATGACAACTTTTCGGTCGACTCGTCGATGGTGGCGGCGTCGGACGCGCTGGTGGCCGTGCCGTGGAAGGGTGCGGGCGGCGTCATCGGCGTCTTCCCGCGGTCGCATGTGGGTCGCGTCGACGTCGACATGCCGACCATCTCGCAGTCGTCGATCTTCAACGCCTTTGACTTTTCGCCGTTCAACGGCAACCTCCTTGCTACTGGCTCGGACGACGGGCGTGTGGGCCTGTGGGAGATCCCGTCGACGGGCCTCGCCGCGCCGCTGACCGAGGCGTCGGCAACGATGGAGGGTCACCGCCACCGGGTGACGTGGCTCACCTGGGCGCCGTATGTGGAGAACCTGCTGGCGACCGGCTCGTTTGACTCGACGGTCCGGCTGTGGGACGTGGAGCAGCAGGCGTGCCTCGTGTCGATGGACAGCTTTGAGGCCGAGCCTACCGGAGTGGCGTTTGCGTACGACTCAGCGACGATTGCGTCGAGCGCACGCGACAAGAAGCTGCGGCTGCACGATCCACGGGCCGACGGCAGCGTGGTGGCGTCGGTTGCCGACGCGCACGTCGGCGTCAAGCCGTTCAAGCTTGTCTGGCTCGGCGCCGGCGACAAGCTGGCAACCGTCGGTTTTGGCGAGCGCTCCAAGCGCGAAATCAAGGTGTGGGACATGCGTGCGCTCGACGCGCCTGTGGCGACCAAGCCGCTGACGACGTCGTCGAACCTCGCACTGCCGTTCTACGACGTGCAGACCGGCGTCCTGTTCCTGGCCGGCAAGGGCGACGGCTCGATCAACACCTTTGAGATCAACGAGAAGGGCATCCATGAGCTTGCACCGTACACGGCAACCAACCCGCAGTCGGGCCTGGCCCTCTTGCCTAAGTCGTGCGTCGACGTTGCAGCCTGCGAGTTTGCCTCGTTTGTCAAGCTCTCTGGCTCGGCCATCTCCAGCGTCACGTTCAAGGTCCCGCGCTCGCGCAAGGAGCTGTTCCAGGACGACGTCTTTGTTCCTGTGCCTGGGTTTGAGCCCGCGGCGACCGCCGCCGTCTTTCTCGATGCCGTCCCCGGCGCCCCGCCGCTGCATGACATGCGGCCCGAGGGCATGCCGCTCCTCTCCGAAGCTGCGCCGACCACCAAGAAGCCGGTCCGCAAGTGGGTCCCCACCACCGTCGAGAAGGTCGACACCCGGTCGGCCAAGGACAAGCTGATGGACTCCTTCGAGTCCAAGCTCAACCCGTACCAGGAGGATGCCTCGAGCAGCCGTCCTGCCGCCAACCGTGATGCTGCCGCCGCCGAAGACTGGTGAGCGGGCGCGGCAAGTGCGCCACAGCAGCGCCACGGCCTCGGAATCGCGTCTTTGATCGCTTCATGCCCGAGTTTGCCAGGCGACGAGAGAAAGTGACTGGGCAAGGATACTATTGGTGAGTGTGAGAGGGGGGGAAAGGGGGGGGGGGGGGGGGGGGGGGGGTAGGATCATGAGTAGTCGGCCACGTGATGCGCAGAGAGTGTGCGCAAGTGGCTCAACCACTCCACTCGAGCCGTCATGAAAACAGCGGCGTACTTTGCGGCGTCGACGGTGGTCACCGCCGGCATGGTGGCAGCCGTGTACAACAGACGAGAGCAGTTCTACCCCACCATGGTCCACATCACAAAGTCCCCTCCTTGCATCCTGGTACGTGACCATGGACTTGTGTGGAGAGTGTGAGGAAGGGGAGGGGATGGGGGGGGAGGGGGGGGGGGTGGACGTCAGGAACAGGTGCCTTGGGCGGCCGTGGTGGGAGGGAGGGAGGGAGGAAAGAGGGCGAACATGCAAGGGACAGGACAAGTGACTGACATGACCTGGTGGGTCTTCCCTGTGTGCGGCTGCTATAGGTGCTTGGCAATATGGCACTGGCGTGCTTGTGGACAGTGGCGCAGGGTTTGCGGTCGGTGTTTCTCGGCACGCTGAGGAGAAGGGAGACCGAGGTGGTGATGGACAAGCTGAGGTACTCGCTGATGGAGACCATGCTGGCACTGACGATCTTTAGAGCGGAGCTCTCGCTCCGGTTTGGCCTCGCTCTCGCAGTCCTCGTCGCTGCCAGGATCTTCCATTGGCTGGCGAGGGAGCGTGTCCACTTTGTCAACGAGACGCCGAACCTCGCGCTGACCTTCCACGTCCGGCTGTTCAGCTTGCTCACGATTCTAGCGGGTACCGACGCCGGGATAGTGACGTACGGCGTCTCGCATGTCCTCGACAAGGGCCCGTCGCTTGTCCTCCTCTTTGTCTTTGAGTACCTCATTCTGCTGGTGCTGGTGGTGGAGATGCTGGCGACGTACGGCCTGCACTTGTGGGATCTGCACGGAGTCGAGGGCCAATGGCAGAACAAGGGGTGGTACATGCTGGTGCTGGAGGTTCTTGGCGTTGGCGCGCGGTTCTTTGCCTACATCACCTTCTTTTGTGTCGTCCTGCACTACTACTCGCTCCCGATCCACATGCTGCCCGAGCTGTTCTCGTCGTGGCGGGCGTTCCAGAACAAGGTTGTCGAGTTTGTCAACTACCGCCGGGTCATTGGTGACCTGGCCGAGCGGTTCGAGGCAGTCACCGCCGCTGATCTCGACGGCGAGGACGCCATGTGCACCGTCTGCCGGGTCGACGTCGACGAGGGTCACCGGCTGCCGTGCGGCCACGTCTTTCACTACGACTGCCTCCGGTCATGGATGGAGCGCCGCCAGCAGTGTCCGACTTGCCGCCTCGACCTGCTCGACGAGAACGCCATGGCCAACATGCAGCGCCAGCGCGAGGAGCGGCTCGCCGCCGCCGCCGCTGCCGAGCCGGCTGCCCGGCCCGACGAACCACCGGCTGTGCCGGGTGAAGGCTCGACACCGGCTGAAGTCGAAGCGTCTCATGCCACAACGAATGTCGACGCTCCAGACGCAGGCAGCTCTGCAGGTGCCGGCCCGCGGTCGCCGACGCCGTCGGCGCTTCCACTGCCCCGGCCGCCGTTCGCGGCTCCGTCGAGCGGTGGCCCGATGCAGGCGGCAGCGGCGGCGGCAGGTGCTGCCGCTGCTGCCGCCGCGCGGCAGGCGCTGGCGTCTGCGGGTATCAATCCTGCGCTGGCCGGGCCGCCACCTCCGCCGCCGCCGCCGCCGCTCTCGCCGCACCTGATGACGCCGACGGGAGCAGCAGCCTACCGGGCCTCGCCATGGAGTCCTGCCGGCGGACGGGCGGCCAGCAGCCCCGCGTTTGGATGGGGCTCGCCGTCGGCGCCGGCATTGATGGCGCCGACAATGGCGCCGGTGATGGCGCCGATGATGTCGCCGATGCCGAGCGCGGTGGCAGCGCCAACCCCGGCGTCAACACCGTCGGCCGACTTTGCGTCGCCGGTCCAGGAGGTCGAGTCACGGCAGATGTCGCTCATGATTGCGCAGCTCCAGTCGCTGCAGGCGGTCCAGACCCAGCTGCAGGCGCTGCAGGCCCACATGATCGAGCTGCAAAGGCAGACGCTCTCTCTGTCGCCGACCTCGTCGCGCTCGCCAGCATCTGCACCCGACGCCTCCATGCCTTCGCCGTCACGCCCCGCTCCGCCGGCTCCGGTCTCCACACCCGAGCACCCGCTCGTCCCTGCGCCTGGTACCGCATCGCACTCGGACGTGCCATCGCGCCCGGTGACGCCCAAGCGCAAGACGCGGCCACCGCCGCTGCAGCGGCCGCTGACACCCGCTGGCGAGGCAGCCGCCCGCCGGTTTGCCGCCCTCGCGAGTCCTGCCGCCACCGCCAGCAGCGATAAGGGTAAGGCTGAGAGCGAGTCGGAGCCGTAGAGCGGATAAAGCAACAGCGTCGGCGGCGCGGCGAGCGGCGGTCGGCGAGTGGTCGACGGAGCGACTCGGTTTGGGATTTGGCAAAGTGAAAAACATCCGAGGGGCGGATTTGCGCGAGCTGAATTAGTCGTCAACAGCTTTCTCTTTTCCCATCATGGCCGAGTTCGAAGTCCAGGTATGTTAATTGGAGGGCGTCGAGAGCCACGGCAGCCACCGTCCCTGTCCAAGCAGAGCAAGGAGGGCCAGAGCACGAGGTAGCGCATGGTATCTTGCATGTGTACCGCAAAGTGTGTGTGCCTCCAAGCTCGCCTGTGGTGGTGGCTAAGGCGAGGCTGGGGTGCTGCGTGTGTTGGTCGTCTGCTACGGAGATCCCATCGTTGGAATTTGTCTGCCGCTGCTCCGGACCGCCACGAAGCCGGCCGCTCCAGCCAGCCTACACCACAAGCTGCTTCCCTGCTTGCTGCCGCACTCGCCGTGAGCCTGCTCTAGCTGGGCTGTGGCTCCTCTTCGCCAATAGCTTGGTGTTGGAGGGGGGGCACAGCTCGCGGGTGGGCGGGCAGCGAAGCGAGTGATTTTTCTTGATGGCGGCCCCGTCCGCCTCGATTCCATGCACACACACGCACACCCACACGAGTGCGTGCTGCCCAGTGAGAGCGGCAGAGGTCGGAGAGGTGGAGACTCATGCAAGTGGATGTATGGGCGTTGAACAGACCGAGCGCGCGTTCCAGAAGCAGCCGCACATCACCCTCGGCAAGACCGTCAAGGGCAAGCTCGTCAAGTCGGGCAAGCGCTTTGTCAAGGACATCGGCCTTGGCTTTGTCACGCCGCGTGAGGCGATTGAGGGCAGCTACATTGACAAGAAGTGCCCGTTCACCGGCAACGTCTCGATCCGCGGCCGCATCCTTGATGGCGTCGTGGTCTCGACCAAGATGCGCCGCACGTGCATCATCCGCCGCGACTACCTTCACTACGTGAAGAAGTACAACCGTTTCGAGAAGCGCCACACGAACACAGCCTGCCACGTCTCGCCGTGCTTCCGTATCAACGAGGGTGATCGCGTCGTGGTCGGCCAGTGCCGCCCGCTCTCCAAGACCGTCCGCTTCAACGTCATCAAGGTCCTGTCCTCGGGCAAGAAGAGCGGCAAGCAGTTTGCCAAGTTCTAAAGGAACAACAACAACCAATACTCCCTCGTCCCTCTGCCCCCTTTCCATCCCATCCCATCTGTTCCCTGCTGCCAACCAAGTGTCTTGTAGAGGGGGACGGGGGGGGGAAAAAGGTCGTGGAATCGGTCCTCTTGTGAGGGCACACACACTACGGCGACTCGGGGCACCGAGCCGGACGTCCCCCTCGCCACAGGGCACCTTGCACTACTCCTCCCGCCTCTCCACACAGCTCTCCACACACCGTGCATACCTCCGCACACACACACATACACACACACACCGCACACACCGCACACACGCACAACACGCGAACCATGTCGGGCATGGCGCCTGAAGAGGAGAAGCCGCGCGAGCGGCGGAAGCACAAGCAGAAGAACAAGACCAAGCGGAAGCGTGGGCGTGAGGACGACGGTGACGAGGACAGGCCGGCGGCGGTAAGGCCGCATGGGCTGGTGGAGACGGCAAAGGTACAGGCCAGGATCCGGTCGAAAACACAGAAGAACCTCAAGGACATCATCGAGTCAAAGGTCGAGGCGTCGACGCCCGGAAACACCAAGCTAGTGACGTTGCTTGCGCGAGGAAGGGCGCTCAGTGAGGTCATCAGCATCAAGGAGCCACGGACGGGCGCCATCGACGCCGAGGCCATGAGCGAGCTGGCTGGAGTCGGCAGGGCCAAGGTGGAGAACCTACGGACAGACTTTACTCGCATGGATCCGGCGGCGTTTGCCACCGAGGTCCGCAAGATGTTTGGGACGGTGGTGGACATGGCGCGGCTGGGCGAGACGTTTGGCAAGTTTCTGCGGACGGTGCCCAAGCTTGATCTGATGTACGGCCCGGTCTGTACCGGCTCGCAGATCCGGCGGCGGGTAGCGCGGAGGCCGCGCGGGACGGTAACGGAGGCGCGGCAGCGTATGGACGCCGCCGAGCCGCAGCTGTTGCAACAGGTGAGGCCGGATACCGATGTGCAGATGGAGACCCGTGAGGACAACGAAACGATGCAGGAAATGCTTCAGCTGCTGCTCGATTTCGACCGCCCGGTCTCACTCTACCAGCTCGTCATCAACCCGACCTCGTATGCACAGACTGTAGAGAACATGTTCTACACCTCATTCCTGACCAAGATGGGCAGCTTGCACATCTGGGTCGATGACGAGACGTCGGTTCCGATGGTCAAGAGCATGCAAGCGGGCAATAGAGGCAAGGCGAGCGAGCGCGCTTCGCGGCGGCAGGCCATCCTCAACATCGACTACGAGCTGTGGCGGCAGCTGAAGGCCGAGCTCGGCGATGAGCCGCCGCTGATGAACGACCGCGGGTCCGGATGACGGTGCGGAGCATTTATAGTCCAGCCGCCGCCAGCGTGGGCATGCTGAAGGACGCGGGGCTCACGATGACTTGGCCTTTGTGGCCGCCTTGCCGCGCTTGTACGTCTGGACGTAAAAGTTGATGAAGAGGCCGAGGAAGGTGATGTTGACAAACTGGGCAAAGGCGATAGTCCACGGGTGGCCGACGCAGCCGCGATCGTAGTTGAGTGAGGGCAGGAACTCGCCGGGGGCCGGGGCGCCGATGGAGATGCCGGAACGGACGTCAAAGTAGACGTAGGCCCAGATCATGAAAAAGACGGAGAAGAACTGGGTGATCTGGCCCTGGGTGATGTACACGCGCCACCACGGCCGATGTCCATAGGCCTTGGAGGCAAAGTAGTAGTAGTACATAAAGACATGAATGAGGGTGTTGACGGCGGCGCCGTACCAGTGGATGGCCCAGTTGCCGCGGAGCCAAGTGAGCGACATGGGGCCGATGACGGCGTGGTGCCAGAGGTGCAAGACGGTGAGCGGCTTGTGCTTGACCACCATGAGCAAAGTGTCAAAGAGCTCGTAGTACTTGGAGACGTAGTACATCCAGCAAAAGTACGCCAGCACGCCCGTCATGGGCTCGGGATCCTGGTCGCAGATGACCTCCCACACCGACTTGCCCGTCACCACGTAGCGCTCGTAGGCGCCCAGAGAAGGCCGACGTGCATGACGAGCGACCAGAGCGAGAGAAACAGGTTGTGCGCGTTGGAGATCCACGGAAGGGACATGGCCGGACGGCCACGCATCAGCCGATGCGCCACAGCAATGACAACCAGATACACCAGCGAGGTCCCCACCGACAGCCGCCAGTCGTACAGAGGTGTCGAGGGGGAGAAGACAAAGTCACGCGGGTTGCTCCATGCCTGCGCCCAGTCGCCCGTCTCAATGCCGAACACTGCCACCATTGCTACTCTTTGCCTGTAGCCCGTTGCTCAAAGTCGAGTCTGTCTCTGTCTCTGTCACTGTCTCTGTCGCTGTCTCTGTCGCTGTCTCTGTCGCTGTCTCTGTCTGACTGTCTGCCCGCTCCCCTGACCCCGCGTGCCACCACTCCGCCCGCTCAACCTGCCACGTGGCCGAGTTTGGCCAGTCGTGCGTGTGAGGGGAGGGGGAGGGGGGGGGGGGGGGGGATCGGATCATGTCTATCATCACATCCATCTTACCCATCACATCTATCATGCCCATCTCTCTCTCTCTCTCTCTCTCTCTCTGGTCTTCGATCGTGCTGACGACGTCGGACGGTAGCACGGGCACGGCACGTGTGTGCTGCATGAGGTGGGGGGGGGGGGG